CTTGGATTGAACTCTGCCCGAGTGGTTATTCTTTTCTTAGCCAGCCCCGCGCTTGATTTGGAAAAGGGTAGAATGCCTGCTCTGGGTCAGGGATGAGGTCCTGCCCCAAGTGGAGGAGTTTATCTCGGGGCCTTGTTCATGATTGAGGGAAAACTGGAGCTTGAGATCGATAGGCGGATTGGTGCTGCATGTGCAGTGATGCGGGCGTTGTACCGGTCTGTCGTGGTGAAGAGAGAGCTGAGTCAGAAGGCGAAGCTCTCGATTTACCGGTCGATCTACGTTCCTACCCTCACCTATGGTCACGAGCTTTGGGTAGTGACCAAAAGAATGAGATCACGGATACAAGCAGCCAAAATGAGTTTTCTCCGAAGAGTGGCTGGGCTCTCCCTTGGAGATAGGGTGAGAAGCTTGGTTAATCGGGAGGGGCTCGGAGTAGTCCCGCTGTTCCTCCACATCGAGAGGAGCCAGTTGAGCCTGGTCAAGATGCCTCCGTGACGCCACCCTGGTGAAGTTTTCCGGGCATGTCCAACCGGGAGGAGACCTAAAGGTAGACCCAGGACATGGTGGAGGGACTATGTCTCTCACCTGTCCAGGGAACACCTTGGGATTCCCCCGGAGGAGCTGACCCAAGTGGCTGGGGAGAGGGATGTCTGGGTCTCTCGCCTTAGGCTACTGCCTCCGCGACCCGACTCCGGAAAAGCGGATGGATGGATGGATGGATGATGGGCAGACGGATGGACGGACAGAGCCAGCCAGCCAGCCAGCCCTGGGGTTTTGGTCATGGTGGAGGCCTAGCTGTTGTTTTCAGAGACCATCTTCCATGTAGCTCTACAACCTCTGGTCACTTTGCTTCCTTTGAACTGCAGCTGATTTAAGTTGGGTGTAAGGACCCGTTTTACTGTGCTGTGGTCTATCGTCCACCCGGTCCAAACAGTTCTTTCCTTCAGGAGTTTAGTGACTTTCTATCCTCCACTGTGAAGCTGTCCAAACTGGTGATTGTTGGTGACTTTAACATCCACTTTGATGATCCCTCTGACCACTTTGCCATGAATTTCTCCAGCCGTATGGTCACCTTCAGCTTGCAGCATGTTTCTGGCTCCACACTCACCAGGGGGCACACTCTAGGCCTTGTTTTTTTACCCTGAATCTAAATGATGACAGTGTTTTTCCTGAGGATGTTTATATTTCAGATCACCATTGCATTTTCTTTAACTTGTCAGTTTCTGCGTCCCCACCTCCTGCTGGCCTGTATAGTTCGTTCTCGTTTTCTTAATGAAAGCACAGCTAGCAATTTTTCTGCTGCTTTTGATCCACCCTGTTCTTCTGATAATGACCCAGATTCCTTAACTTCTCAGTTTAACGAGCACTGCCTCTCCATTCTGGACAACATCTGTCCTGTCAGAACCAGATCAGTTCCTGCAGTGAACCCTACTCCCTGGTTTAATGACAGTCTTTGCAGCCTAAAGCGCCAATGCAGAAACATTGAGCACTTGTGGAAGAAAACCCATCTCCACATCCATCTACTGCACCTAAAGGATCTTCTGACATCCTTTACCTCTGCAGTCAGACGCTAGGGTTTCCTATTTCTCCAACCTGGTGTCCCAGAGCAAAGGGAACCCCAAGGTGCTTTTTAACACCATCAGCAGCATCGTCTCTCCTGCCTCTCCTACAGCCTCCATCCACTCTGTTGCAGACTGTGAGAACTTTCTGTCTTTCTTTGTGGACAAAGTCAATAAGGTTAGATCTAGCATGTCTCCTTCAGCCTTATCGCTGCCTCTCCCAACTCCAACCAGGCCCATCCTCCATGGATGAAACGTTCATATTTTTAGAGTTTTTTCGCGAGGCATTCTTCAAACTTCTCCATGTCTGCCGCTAGTTAAACTCGGCTCTCTTTGCAATGGCAGCGCTGTAAACAACAGCGGCGTCCTGACCAATCACAAGCTTGCATAATCCGTTTCGTTCGACTGATGTTTAAAAAAGTGGGCTCGACTCCGTACGTACTTGCGTGCCTGCCGGAGCCCTACGCAAGGACGGATAATGGCGTTGCGTGTGCTCCGCACTGACGCAGACGGAGAAGCATAAATCAGGCTTTACTTTACCCATGGTGTCCCACAAGGTTCTCTGCTGGGGCCTCTGCTCTTCCTCCTCTATCTGCTTCCTCTTCAGCACATCCTGAGCTCCTTCAAAGGAATCTCCTACCATCTTTATGCAGATGACATCCAACTGTACATCTCCTTTAAGCCCCATGAGATGTCTAAGCTGCAGCGGTTACACACCTGCTTAGACTCTATCAAAACCTGGATGGCTGGGAGCTTTCTACAGCTGAATGAAGATAAGACTGAGATCCTCATCTGTGCCCCAGACAAGCTGGTTCTCAAAGTCAGAGACTCTCTTGGTCAGCTTGCTTCTCACACCAAACCTTCCATCAGGAATCTTGGCGCGACCTTTGACCCAGTTCTCACCCTGGATTCTCATGTCAGTTCTCTTGTTCGCTCTTCCTTCTTCCATCACAGGAACATTGCTAAGCTGAGTCCCATTCTGTCCCACTCTGAACTTGAGACAGTTATCCACACCTTCATCTCCTCACACTTAGACTACTGTAACTCTCTTTTCACGTGTCTGAGCAGAACCTCCCTGAACCGTCTACAGGTGGTTCAGAATGCCTGTGCTCGGCTTCTGACCAAGTCTTCCAAACACACCCACATCACCCCGCTTCTCCTCCAGCTTCACTGGCTGCCAGTCAACTTCAGGGTTCATTTCAAGATCCTGGTTCTGGTCTATAGGGCCTTACATGGACAAGCACTATCTTACATTGGTGATCTTCTTAGGCCTAGTCCACACGTAGCCGGGGTTTTTTAAAAACGAATATCCGCCCCTCCAAAAACTTGCATCCACACCATCTTGTTTTAAAAAAAACTGTCCACACGTACCCGTATAAATACGTTGTTAAGGACATGCCAGACCTGTAGGCGGCAGTACTTCCCCCGTTCTTAACCTCGTAAGTAATTCCGCTTGCAAAAACAAACAAGCAAAAAGCCTTTGGACAATTGTTAAAGCGAGCGCAGCTCTGAGGGCATCCATGCTGTCGGCTAGTGTAAACACAGGTCGCACACGTGATGTCAGCATTTTTTTGTCACGGAAAGTAACGTTGCGGACCTTAAAACTCCGGTTTTGTCTGTCCACACGCAGACACCCAAAACGGAGAAAACGCAGATCTTCACTTTGGCCGGAGTTTTTAAAAAGATCTGTTTTCGTGTGAAAAAACTCCGTTTTCATGTCGATGACAGGCCACGTCAAAAATACGTATCTAAGTTTTGGCAGATCCCCGGCTATGTGTGGACAGGTCCTTAGTCTCTACACCCCCAGCAGGTCCCTGAGGTCCAGTGATCAAAGCCTACTGGTTGTGCAGCACCAGGCTAAAGACCAAAGGTGACATATCATCTGCTGCTGTGGCCCCCAGACTCTAGAACCCTCTCCCCCTGAGCTTGAGATCAGTGGACCCAGTACACTCGTTTAAAAAGCAGCTGAAGACTCACTTGTTCAAGCTGGCTTTTGTATGACCTTCTTCACCACTCTTTCTTTATTCTGCTCGCTCCACCTATTCCACCTTCCTCAGGATCCACTGATTTCCCTCTTTCCTGTTCACTCTCTCTCTTTATTAAATTTTTTAATCACAATTGTCTATTTTTTGCTCATTTTAAATATATTTTTAACCAATTTCTAAATTCTTTTTTATATTTTTACATTTTTATTTTTGTGAAGCGCCTCGTGATTTTTATCTTGAGAGGCTCTATAGAAATGAAATTTTCTTCTTTTCTTTCTTCTTTTATTTTTATTTTGCCCCATTTAATCAAAATCAGCTGCTGGGGGCCTCTATTTTGATTGTATTGATATTTTTGCTTTTATTTAACATTTCCTTTGGCAATATAAACATATTTTCCCCTCAAAATGATATTTTGGGACAACAGGACTACAAATGCAAATTTTTCTGGACCAGTAAACATTTTCAGAGTCAAACATGCTAACGTAACTTTTACGAATCTAGTAACTTCTGTAAGTCCTTCGTCCAGCCATCGTGTGTCATCGGCAGGCGCAGGACCCTGAGCCGATGTGGTGGTACCTACACCGGATCTGACATCCAGATGCACAATCAGCTGCTTTTTGTTGCTACTGGTGATATTTGTACTTGTAAATAACCAAAGTGCAAAATCATCTGCGGTCTACGTTTATGAAAAACTGCTGCAAAGACAGCCGTGAAATATGCGTCATGTAGGTCTTGGCTGCTATAGAACTTACCGATGGCTCATGAATCTGGAGAAATAAAAAAGGAGAAATAAAAAAACTTTCTCTATACAGAGGCTGTTCAGAAAGCAATCTATAGTGAAAACAAATTTAAAATCTTCAGCTGAAATACCCTTTTAAGTCAGAAACATGCAGCCATGTGTGCCTGTGTGTAAGCACAACAGTGTATTGATTTCCTGAGGGTGCTTCTCACCTGGCAAATTTTATGTGTGGTTTGTTCCCAAACAAAAAGCTTTGCTATCCATTTCCACACATTTCTGCTCCATTATGTTTGGTAATAAGGGACTGGCTCAGCATTAACAATTGATGCTAATACCAGACACCCAAACAAGCTCTGTGATAGCATTGTCCCTCAAACCTTTTGATGTGTGTGCGTGCATGTGCGTGTGTGTGTTTGCGTGCGTGCGTGCGTGCGTTGCGTGTGTGTGTGGCTAATAGTTCTTGTGTAATTAGTTTGAAATTTAGTGTGAAGATGCCATGTGTTGTTGTTTGGTGGGAATTATCATAATGAAATGTGCTCTCTTTTGCTCCTTTGCCTTTCTGCCTTGTGTCCCCTCTTTGCATACTCTCTCCTCTTTGTTCTAGTGTTCCTTAACTGCCCTTTAATTGCGGCGGCCATATTTCCCATTAACCCTACTCGTCTAACCTTGTTTTCGTTCCCCCCACCCTACCTTTTGTTTCTTCTCTCCTCTCTTCAGAGATGCCGGTGTCGTCGGTGCTTTGTCTGTCGTCGGTCAGAGAGCTGCCGGTCCAGGTCAGGGAGCTCTACGCTCAGGGTTTCGTCCTGGTTGCTGTGCACCCGTTTGTACACCCCTGTGGCCCTCGTCATGCACACATCCAGCGTCAGCTCCACCGGGCCGTGCTGGTCAGAGAAACACAAAGGTACTAAACATCAGCTGGTTATGCTGAGGAAACTGCTTTGAACTGTGACTGTCTCCACTGTAGGCTGATGAAGATAAACGACATTAACTTGCAGCCAGATTTAGCTAACAATTAGAGGGTGCCTGCTTGTGTGACTTCATTGTTTTGACATGAGAGCCAACAGAGACTCATTATCACAAGCCTCCTTACCTCCTTATGTTAATGGAAAATTAATTGTAGATGACTCAGCTTCTGAAGTAGCCCACTTTGGCTCCCTACCCCAGTTTTCTCCGCTCTTAAGTATTCCAATGTGTAATTAATTCATCTTTAATATAATGCATGCCACCATGTTGGCGAAGTTCTCACATCACAATGCATTGATTTATTCCCAGAGTCATATTATGGAAATGAGTGATGGAGTTAACCTAGTTATAAAAACAGGAGCAGCTGGCTCCTTTAAACTTCAAATCTAAAAGATCAATAGCATCTTTTTAAGACTCGTGTCCAGGTTACATCAGTCATACTCGGCCATGGTGGCTTCAAGGGTGCTAATGTCAAACCACAAATGACCATGCTAAACTTACAGCCATTGTACATCTGTTATCCTGTGTCTGGTTCAGTGGCATCAATATAGTGAGATGCATTTGTAGTTCTGGACGTCTTTTCACACAAAACATAAAAAAAATAACTTTTCCCCTGGTTGAAAATAAGCGCTTTCTTCATCAAAATGTGTCTTTAAAACTCACGGACATCATATGTGAAGTCCATGGCACATAAATGGGATTAGAAAATAATTTTTATAGCCTCATTGACTTGCATTCAATTTTTCTAATATCCGTGTACCCATGGTCCGGAAGTAGATGGATGTGAGGCTCCGTGTTGGGACTGGGTCGGCGTGCCTTGGCAGCACTACAGCAACACCTTCAGGCCTGGCATGGCCACTGCCAGTTGTTTTGGTGTAGATGACATTAGTTCTTGAAAATTCTCTGCTTACAAGGATTTTAATAATATTTAATAATTTTCTGCTTCACTCGCAAAGAATACAATTGCGTGTTTTTTGTTTTTCAGTTACATTAATAATGTCTGATCAAGGTGTTTTTAACCTGTACATATTTTGAGAGCAGTCGCATAAAAAACGTAATCTGTTATTATTAAAGAAACTGAAAAGCTTATGTAGCAAAAAAAAAAAAAAAGACAGAATGGACATTATAGTGCTATCACATGCTTCTTGTGATGTGTGAAGTCAGTAAAGACGGCAGATGTAAAATGCACAGGAGGTCTGTGTTTTTGTTCCGACTTCATTTTCACCTAATTGTTAATACTGTCTGGGTGAGTTTTAATCATCACTAAACACAACTCTGCTGCCTTCTGAGGTAAATCTGTGCCTGCAGTCCTACAGGTGTGGTTCACTAAAAAACATTTTTTATGCTTATTTCTGATTATAATCGGTCGCTGAGTTTTTCATGCAGGCTGAACACGAAAACAGTCCTTCACCTATCTCCTGCATTAGCTTCTGATATAAAATAGAAGCTAAATGTTAGCATTAGCAACTCCACCACATGGCAAAACTCCTCCTGGCTTGTGTTATTTCTGGAAATAAAACATCAACAGATTCGGTGTCACGTTGATGTTGGCCAATCAGAGGAGAGGTGTCGAAATATCAGGAAATAAGACTCCATCTCCTGTTGTCTGAACCTCTGCTCTGATCTGGCATTCTTCTAGATCCTGAAACAGGTGCACCAGGGCTTTTGTACCCAGAGTACGACAAGGCACCAATTCCTACTAGAGACCATTGCAAGCGTATTGATTAAACTAGTAGACCACACCTTTAAAGGGTGCTCTCTGGATAGACTTTTTATAATTGTAAGTAACAGTGATTCAGTCATTGACCAAAGGAATTCTGTTTATTCCCTAAAGCTGACTGTAAAAGGAAGCTGGTCTATCTGGAAAAACAAAAGCTGATCCCCCTCCCCCAAAGGAAATGTCGCACGGCCAAGATTTGAACCAATGACCTGCTCACTGTGCAGCAGCAGTCCCCGTTAGTGTTGCGTGTTGTATGCTCAGCTGAGAAGGTCATTGGCTACAAACCCTCCTCCAGACAGGACCTGTACACCTCCAGGACACTGAGGCGTTCAGGTCGGATAACAGCTACCCGTCCCACTCTGGACACAGTCTTTTTGACTTGCCCACATCTGGCAGGAGGCTCAGATCCATTCGGACCAGAACCTCTCGCCACACGAACAGTTTTTTCCCCTCCGCTGTCGGACTCATGAAAGATAATCCTAGGGCTGCCCACTCCAGTCACTTTGTTTCAGTCACATGACCCGGTGTTGTGTTTGCACCTGACTGTTCCAATACCTACAGTCTCGTAAATAGTAGTAATTTCTCTAATTATTGCCACTTTATATTATTATTTTATCATGATTATATTCTTACTTCCTGTGTTTGCTCATCTCTTATTATTTTCTTTCTTTTTGCACCAAGTACCGCAGCAATTGTCTAATGTTGTGTTTTCTCGCACATATGGCAATGAAACCTTCTGATTCTGATTACTTCACTCTGTTATTCACATGCTTTCTCACTATCAGACTAACTTTACAGTTGTCACCATTCATTCCTGACTATCAGAAGAATTAATCTGCTTAGTTTACAGTCTTGGAATTTTTCATCACTTTTTGTGTAAATGATGCAGATAATGGTGAAATTTTGCGTTCACACACAAACGCCAACACACACAAGCAGGTGCCAGGCTGTTACTTTGATGCCCCTCCTGCCAAGCTGTCCTGCTGCTTCCTGGCACCTGTCACCGTGGAGACGGCTGATTGCATCATCAGTGCTCGCCAGAGGGGAACAGCCGACTGAGAGAGAGACCATCTCCCCATCCTTTCATCTGCTTCCTTCAGTGACGACCACCCCCTTCCACTCCCCTGTTTTTTTCTTTTGTCCTAGTCACCCTCCTTTGTCCCCTTTACTCTGTCTTTTATCTCCCCATCATCACCACTCCTTTCATCAAAAACCATAAAAATGAAAAAGAAAAAAATTACGACTGATCCACTGTTTCAAATCTGCAGAGAATGTCACTCACGCCTCAGAGCACAAGATATTACTACGGCCTTCCCACTGACCTCAATCCAAATCTGAAGAGGCGTATCTGAAAGCTCCTTTTATGATGGCACCTTGCAATGGAAAAAAGGAAATTCACTCCCTTTTCCTGTCTAATAAGTCTTTTGCAGCCGTGGTAAATGTGTGCGCTCCTTAAATGGAAAATTCCCTCTCCTTCAGATTTGACATGTTTCTCTGTGATCATTCTGGGTCAACAAGCGCTGCTGAAGATGCCTGCCAGGATCTTACAGCCGAGGCTCATTTAGACTGTAATGGTACCGGCTGATGGGCTGTAACTATCGTAGTGAGGCTAAAACTGTGGAGACCTGATGAGTCTAGGCCACAGTAGTATCTTGTGCTCTGATGGGGAGATGGCCTGTCTCTTTCATTGTCTGATTTAAATCAACAGAAATACTTAAAGATTAACTACAAAAATAGTGTCTGTGTTATGTTTTTATTGTAGTTCTGAGAAAAGTAACCTGAGGCGGGATAGAAGTCGCCTAGAGACGGACGTCTGTGTGACCAATCAACAGGCTGCAGATCCAGACGTGATCCAGAACTATGTCAAAAAGGTTTGTTAGCACTCATTTAATCCTCACGGTTTTGTTTCACCCATTTTCCCCTGAAATGGTTAAATCTGTGAAGACATGCTGTGATTGAGCAGCGTCCGACCACACGCAGAGGGATTTGTCTGTTCAAACAGGATTTTTCTGCACATTTCTGGGATCATTCTGAAGAAAGGCCTTGTTATGGTAACATTTGGTGGCATATCTAACTGATTGGCACTGAAGCTTCTCACTTAATTAAAGAATACCGGATCAAGAGAACATTTATTTCACCAGGAAAGCACATTTCCAAGATGTTTCTTACCGGATGCTTATTGAAATCTACATAAGCACTTAGTGTTTTCTCTCTCTCTCTCTCTCTGTGTGTGTGTTTTCTCTGTGTGTGAGTGTGTGTGTGTGTGTGTTTTCTGTGTGCGTATGTGTGTGGATGTGCATGCATCAGTGTGTTTGCATGTGTGTGTGTTTTCTGTGTGCGTATGTGTGTGGATGTGCATGCATGAGTGTGTTTGCATGTGTGTGTGTGTGTGTGTGTTTGCATGAGTATGTGTGTGTGTGGGTGTAGGTGTTTGTGTTTTTGTGTGAGTGTGTGTGTGTGTGTGTGTGTGGGGGGGGGGGGTATGTGTGTATGTGGCTGTTTTTATCTTCGCTTTTCTGTGATAACATTACAATCCTTAAAATGCATTTGTGTGTTTTTGCCAAACCCTTCTGGTGCGGACACAAGAAGCTTCTGCGGCTGAGACCAAATGGATTTCATTAGTGCTTTTTCTTTTTAATTCTGGTAAATTTACATAATTGAATGAATTGGATTTATGTAGATGAGAGCTGAGCAAGACCCCAGAAAGAACTAGCACTAGCTGCACTTTACTGGTGTTACTAGTGAGCTGAAGGTGGATAAATGCAGAATTCTGGTAAACTGATGTAAAAATAAAAAACCTATTATTTATTCTGAGGATTTAGGCCTAGTCCACACATAGCCGGGTTTTTTTTAAACGAATATCCGCCCCTCCAAAAACTTGCATCCACGCCACCTCGTTTAAAAAAAACTGTCCACACGTACCCGGATAAATACGTTGTTAAGGACATGCCAGACCTGTAGGCGGCAGCACTTCCCCCGTTCTTAACCTCGTCCTTCGTCTGTGGTCTTCCGCAAGGAGCAGTAATTCCGCTTGCAAAAACAAACAAGCAAAAAGCGCTTTTACAATTGATAACGCGAGCACAGCTCTGAGGGCATCCATGATGCCGGCTAGTGTAAACACAGGTTGCACACGTGATGTCAGCATTTTTTTGTCGCGGAAAGTGACGTTGTGGACCTTAAAACTCCGGTTTTGTCTGTCCACACGCAGACACCCAAAACGGAGAAAACGCAGATCTTCACTTTGGCCGGAGTTTTTAAAAAGATCCGTTTTCGTGTGAAAAAACTCCGTTTTCGTGTGGATGACAGGCCAAAACGTAGAAAAATATCTAAGTTTTGGCAGATCCCCGGCTACGTGTGGACAGGGCCTTATAAATGTTTAGGTGAAAGTTGGCAGCCTTCTTGGCTGGTGTTGATCTTCATCCACTGATCCACTGGGAGGGTCCTTACCATTTTTGGGTCATCAGATGATTTACTAGGTTGGTTCAAATGAACAATGGTTGATTGAATGAAAAGAATCTTTTCCTATCAGATATCGCTCAACGGATGTGTTGAGGAAGACTCAGCCACAAACACACCAAACTTTAGCTCGACCTTAGTTATTGTCTTTGGTAGTTGTAGTCCCACTGCGGTAACAATAAAGTCTATTCTATTCTATTCTATAATGTTCCATTTGATACGTCAGCCTCCCATAGATCCCGCCTAACCATGGTACATTGTTGTTACAGCTGTTGCTGTTTACCTCAGAAAACAGACACTGCAGAGGACAATCAGTGCATTGCCTCCTCCTCCTACCTGCACAGCTGCACTCACTTGGGCTGATCACCTCCTGAGCAGCATAAAAGGGAGAGCTGCCAGGAGGAAGGGAGAGACTGGATCTGTGCCAGTTCTGTCATGTGCTCCATTTATTGGTGTTTTAATGGCTTTTAACTGGGTTTTAGTTCTTTAAGCTCTGGGAAGCTTAAGAGCTTTTAGAGGTTTTTAACAGACGAGGGACCAGAGTGCTGGTTACCTCTTGGCTCCCAAACTTGTGTTTAAGTCAGTGGACTTTGTTTTGTGAATGTTTGGGAGCATTCGGATGTCTGTTTTAAACGTAAGCCCTTGGCCATTTTAACAATGTGTTTAAGTACTTTTAGATTTGGAGCTTTTTGTCATTTTAAAATCCTTTTAATAAAATCAGTGTTTACAATTTCCACAGCTGAAACACACGCCTCTGTGTTGCGTCCTTCTCCATATCCACCTATAGAGGACGTAACAATTGTTGATGTTTATTACGATCTGTTCCTTCTAAGGATCCAGACCGTACCTTTGTCTTTGGAAAATTGTGTTTTACAAAGGAACAAATTCTCTGTTTTACTTTTTAGAAAAAGGGTTAAGATAAAAGTTATTTCTCTAAGATTATTTTAAATGTTTCATCCACAGGTCAGTGTTTTGGGAGTTAACAAAACTCCTTCCTCTGAAAACGGTCTAAGTGAAGGGACCAAAATGAAAATTAACAACAATGTTACAAATCAGATAATATTGCTTTGTTAAAGGAAATCCAGCTGAAGGCTAAATTACTTTCTTTGTTCCTTGTTTAGATTTAAAACTAATTTGGAAAATATTAATATCAGACTGTTCTGTTGAAGCTAAAACTAACAATAGAGCACTGATTTTAACACACACACACACACACACACACACACACACACACGGTCAACAAGAATACATTAGAAAAAGTAACATGACAGAAAAACATCCATGAGGTTCTGGTCCATCCTGGCATGACCGCATCATCTCCATCCATGATGAGCCATGATGAGAGGCTTCCATTCCACTATATCCCAAAAGGTTCTGGACTGGACTGAGATCTGGTGATTGTGGAGGCCGTTGGGAGTCCAGTGAACTCATGGTCATGTTCTAGAAACCAGTTAGAGATGACCTGAGCTTTGTGACACGGTGCATGATCCTGCTGGAGGCAGCATCAGAAGATGGTTAGGGTCAGGCTGCAGCAGAAATCCAGACTCCTCAGTCCAGGAAAGATTTTTCCAGTCTCTTCTGGTCCAGTTCTGGTGATCCTGTGTGAATTGTAGGTTCTGCAGACCTTGGTAGGAATCCAAAGTTATTGTTGACTTACTGGTTGTTTTTGACAATCATCTAGAACCAGTCTGACCATTCTCCTGTGACCCCAACAAGAAAGTTTCATCCATGATGATGTGTTTGAATGTCACCAGGTTTAGGTGGACTTCTTATTGCTTTGAGTTGCTGCTGTGTGGATGATACTAAAGGTACTAAAGGTGAAGCTCGGGTTTCAGTAGGAGCAACTGAACGGATCCTCTATCTAGATTTCCCACTGAACAGTAACAACCGTAAAATGAGAAAAAGCCCTTTAAAGAATTACAAAACGACTGACTACTCTCATATGAAAAACACACCGAAACGAGTATGGCTGAAGCCGTATACACTGTATTGTGTCCGGTGTTACACTCCGTCCCTCTCCTCATGAATCCACCAGCAGTCCTACGCTGGGACATGAAATGTGCTCTGTTGAATAGATTTGCATCTGAACACCCAGAGAGCACAAAGGGAAACCTGATTGGATGGAAATGCACATCACTGAGCATGATGTGATCGGCTCCTGCAGCGTGACGCGAATAACCAATCAGATCACAGGCTGAGGAAGAGAGTTTCAGATAAGAACCACTGTGTGTGTGTGTGTGTGTGTGTGTGTGTGTGTGTGTGTGTGTGTGTGTGTGTGTGTGTGTGTGTGTGTGTGTGTGTGTGTGTGTGTGTGTGTGTGTGTGTTCCATCAGTTTGAAATGCTGTACTTTTGTATTTCCAGAGCTAAACCCACCTTCCAACTCTGAGTCTCTCTGAGCAGCCTGATCAGATAAAACTGTGAGTGTGTGTGTAAATTGTATTTGGTGGGCGGGAGAGAGAGACTGTTTAAATGTTAAGATAAGTGATGTGTCATAAAAAAGCAGGTTAATAGGAGGAGATGGGGCTCATTATTGTTTAGTACTAGTTTGCAATCTGATTTCTTGTCTAAAGCCGTCAGCCCAAATATCAACTGACAATTAAGCACCAGAGCTCTGCAGGAGGGAGCAGCTGACATGAGCACACACACACAAGCGCCATCGCTCACGCGTGTGTAACGATAATGAGGTCCTTTTGTTATTTGAATATTTGATCTTTGCAGTTGATTAGGCAGGCTGTTATTGTGGAGAAGGCCCACCTTACGTCTGTCAGCCTTTGTTTGTGTATAAATTAGGTTTTGTTTGTCAGGATGAAGGAGCTGGGTCAGAGCAATTGTGGCCTTTATCACTCAAGAGTTATTCTAATGGGATTCATGGGTGTGTTTGTGCTGCAGATCCAGGATGTGGCAGAACAAGGTGTGATGTTCGTGGGCTTCCTGCAGCAGCCAGGCGGAGGGCCGTATTTCTTGGGTCACTGGGACCCCGAGGATCTATCGTCTCTCCATTCAAGCCCGTCGCCAATACATCGACACCCTTTCAGCACCAGCACAAGCCCCACAGATCCAACAGAACCTGATTCCAACAGCGCAGAAGCTGATCTCTGCTGCTGTGAAGATTACAACTCAGTGGAACGTGGCAAACAGGACCAGCACACTTCTGCTCCCAGGGGACAGAAGCACACTCAGAGTTCAGCACCTTCCCCAGATGAGTTCAGTGACCACATAGTAACCTCACAGACAGACATCAGAGAATCAGCAAGTCAGCCTCAGCAGAAACCAGCAGGAACATTAAGGCTGCAGGAGTCTGAATTAGCTAGCGATGACCATAACGTCCCTGCAGCTGCAGAGAAATACTCTAACTGTTCAAATCGCAGAGAAAAAAGAAGAGGCTCAAGCTCGGACAGCTGCATGAGCTCCCCGGAGCTGGACCACAGTGAATCAGGCCGGACAGATGGGCAGAGCCGGGTGGCTACACATAACAACAACCACATACGAGTAAAGAACTCTGAGAAGGACAAGAGGGCTACTTCACCTCCGAGGCATGCCAGTAAGTCTGTTCACTTCCTGGTTTGATCATCCATCCCTCCCTCCCTCCCGTTAATTCTGTATTCCCGTTTTTTTTCTGTAGGGATGCAGCTGTTTGCCTTGTACAACCACACAGAAGAGCCGGACACCTCTCCGAGGTTCTACTCTCTCAGGGTGCCACTACGTGTACACAAGGAGGCGGGGCAAATTACAGAGGTGGACGCCAACTGGCTCGACCACATGACGCAGCATTTTATCAGTGGGGCGAACCTCATCGATGGCTTTGTCCACCTGACTAATGACAACAACGGTTTGTTCTGGGGACACAGTGGGTATAGAAAAGAAGTGTCGCGTCCTTAAATGGAAACAACCCAAAATTATCTTCACCAGCTTTAGTTATCCATAATGACGCATTGTCAGTCTTTGACCGGCGGAGGCTCCAGTTCAGAGAGAAGACAATGAGTAAGGTTGAGATTGCTTTATTGAAGCACCATGTCACATGGACCCAGAAACAACCAAATCTGCCTTTATAACCTCTGTGATTACTGGAAGAGACCAAGAAAAGGGTAATCAGAAAACAAACAATATTTACATAAACCTAACACCAAAGACATTAAAATGGTACCAGTAAATATTAAATACAATTCATTAAACTTAAACAAATCTAAAGTCAATCAGCCAAGTAAACCAAATTTTACATAACTTCTCTAAGCCTCACCCCTCTATCTCTAAATAGTAGGCTCCAAGAGCTTTTAAGCAGCACTTTGGGTTTGCATCTCCCTTTGCTGCCCCGCCCTGCTAAGGAGACAAACCAGGAAGAGGTGAGTGCATACTTTCAAATCATATCTTAAGGATTAACTCATAATTTAAGCAAACACAGTGATTAAATATAATTGACATTCGTACTCCATTCTTAACAGGAAGGATGGCCAATCCCTCCGGCTTCCAAGAATGCCTCAACACAATCAATAAAGAACCGAAAAACAAACATTTTGTCTTGAACTCAATCATACATAACATAATACCAATAATCACATTCCTCTTTAGTGATAGGACCTCTGGTCTCCTATCACACGCATAAGTATCATTCATAGAAAAATTATAGAATTAATAGAATTTTTAAAAAAATCATAAAAACAAAACAACTAACACTGGGATTAATAAAGGGACCCCCTCCTACACACACACACACACACACACACACACACACAAAACAGTATTTTTAAACTCAGTCTAACGAAGTAACCACCATTTTCTTAGTAGACCATGGTTACTGGCTATCTGTGGTTGCTTGTAAACAACAGGCATGTTTCCACGGAACTTTAGGGTAATTTTACCAGAACTTCCCGCCATGCATGCGTCTCCTCTTGACCAGGCCGGCTGAACGAACCGTTTTTAGGAACCAACAGAGCAGGGGTAGTACTCGGAAAGGCCCGTCTGAGTCGCTGAGTGAAACATTAGGTAACTCACTCTGATTGGTAACGCGACACAAACAACAGCTGAAAGGACTGAGCCACCATATCTCATGGTCACTTTCCCCTCCCAGAAGTGACCCTAAAGTTCAGACAATTGAAACATGCCTAAAATGACCACAGACAGTGGCTGAAGGAGAAAAGGGTGAATGTCCATGTGGCCCAGTCAGAGCCCAGACCTTCATCTCTCTGGTGGTAGAAGATTCTAGTCCACCAGCACCTACCATCCAATCTGACCCAACTTGAGTTGTCCGGACCCATGTTAAGAAGAAGAAGAAGAAGGAAATATCATTTCTATAGCGCCTCTCAAGATAAAAATCACGAGGCGCTTAAGCATAATTCTGCGCACACGAAGACGCATAGGAGACCTGGATGATGAAGCTCAATGGTTAAAGGAATCACTGAAGCGGTGTGAAGCGCTCCGCCGTTATCCGGATGTTTGTATTCAGACACAAAGGTCTTATGGACAGAGTCCGGAACATTTCCGTTTTTCATGGCCTGTCTGAAGGGGGCTTAAGTGGATGGAATGTGAGGAGTGATGATGTGTGAATGTGATGTTATCAGAACCCTTGTATCTGAAGATACGTAAGTTCTGAGTGGGAGTGAATTCGGTCTGCTATAAGCTAACAACGTTGGTTCTTATCAAAACCACATCGGACACAATCATGTGTGTCTACCTCACTCTTTTTGGAGACCCTCTTTGTGGATCCGGAGGTCAGGAATGTCAATCAATCAATCAAAGCTTTATTTATAAAGCGCCTTCCGCAACCCTGTCAGGAAGCCCAAGGTGCTGATGTCGGATGACCTCTGGGCACAGAGGTTCAGTAGATTAACCGCAGCACCGACCACTCCAGTCCAGAGATGTCACCAGGCGCAACAGGTTGGAACTAGTTTGCGTCTAGAACAGCTGTTTCTGAGTAGCTGAAGGAGCAAGTTTCTGTGTCGCTGCAGGCAGCTTTTGGCTTGAGGGTTCAAAGAGTTTTGCTCTGGCTGGCCGGTCCGGAGCCCTGCTCAAACTAACTAATTCACTCAGCAAGTGATTCTGTTTAAATATTCCCATATTATGGTTACATGGCCAACCAGGACGTGCCATGTTAAGAGGTGTTAACAAACAAATCTCAGAACCACTTTTCCCAGATACAGGAGCTCTGATTTGTGGATCAGAAAATATCTATGGCAGTGACGTTAACTTTAACTTGCATCATGGAGATATGGTGAGGGTGTGCTTGTCCAGTCACGTACGCTGATTAAATATATGGGTCATATATTTCATTTCATCCTTATTAATCTAAACACAGATTAATCAAAACATTAATAGTAATATTCATATAGCATTTGTTCATTCAACCATATGTTTATGTAATGATTATTTAACTTGTAAAAGTTCATCTTTCATGAGAGTGTGCAATCCTGCGGTCTTATCAAAAGAAATCTTTGTTTGGGAACATAGGCTGACATCTTGTCCCCCTGAAATGTCAACACGCACTGCAGAATCTTCTGGGCTTTAGAAGACAGAATAGCAACTCCACTAAGCTAGTGGTATCATGTCTGTAGAAGACCGGACATTGTGTAGGTCAATATGTAGGTGAAAACTGACCCTTTCTGGACGTTACATACGGTATGTAAACAAAATCAAATTTCTTTTGTATTTGTTTAAATGTGCCTCTAGTTTTCCCTCAGTTGGGAATAGTCCTGCAGCATTAAGTTTACCTACATGGAGACATGATTGCTGACCATTTAAATCAGTTTAATTTATCATCTGATGAGAGGCCGATGGCTCCTGTAGCTTTTAGAAACCTTTTCCCTTTAGAGTAAGGTCTTTCTGCCGTTGAGTAGCACCAGGGTTTGACAGGATGCTGCAGAAAAACCACAGAACCATCACCCAGAGAAGGAGCTGGCTCAATCCAACAGGAAGTTAAAATCCGAAACAGCTACTTGAGTTTGACTGTGATTTGTCCCGCTTCTGTCTAGATAATGGGGTGTCATGTGTGGACAGTGTCTTCATCTTCCAGAGCTCAGCAGAGGAGCCTGCAAACACCTCCTATGATGCCATCGTGGTTGAACAATGGACTGTTGTAGACGTAAGTGTTTAAGGACACCACCAACAAAAAACGTCTGCTGTACCTCCCACAGCTTTAATGCATGACTCCTCAGAGCCGCACTTCCTTACTACGGCATTTAAACTTCTAATCTGCGTTTCTGACTCCTTGTCTGGGAGAGAGAGAGACATGGGTGTGTGGTTGCTATGGCAGCATTTGCGAAAACACGTCAGACATTATCCATGTGTTTTAATATTGTCCGACAAAAAACTTGACCAACGTGCCAAAATTTCTTATTATTGTGACATTAGTGCAGAACTGAAACAGCAGACAGAATGACATTTGCCCTAACAGTAGTTTATTAGAATAGTAATCCAGCATACAGCTAGTTTCACTTTTTTCAACCAGCTTGTCTCAAAGTAAAGTAAAGAAAACGATCTTATATAGCGCCTCTCAAGATAAAAATCACGAGGCGCTTCACAAACAGAACAAACAAAACAATTAAAGTATAAAAATATTTAAAAAAAAACAGTAAAAAATATGTTGAAAATTAGAGGGAAAAAATAAAAATTGTGATAAAAAAAAAGAATCAATTACTTTGGGGAAAAAAGTCATTTGTTACTATAATCCAGGGGTCCTCAATTATAATGGTCTGAGGGCCACACACAAAAAAGACCCAGAAGCAAGAGGGCCGGGGGGGGGGGGGGGGGGGGGGGGGTGCTGCTGCTGCTTGGATCGCTGGCTGTAATGCACATAACACACAAGCTTGCAATATAAAGCAGGACAACACCTGTCCCCCTCCAGCTCGGCTGTGTGACTGCACTAACCTGTCCTGTGTGACCCTCACCATGTAACCCTCATGTCCATGCTGTCTCTGGAGGAGCAGATAGGATACAAGACCTCCTGTAACTTAAAATGAACCAAAGCTTCCTCCCAGTTTCTCTTTAAGCTGAATTTAACATCAGTTCATCTTCATGAAACAAAAGAATAAAGTGTGTGGCAAGGTGGATAAACGAGGACCCGGGCGGGATTCGATCCCTAGACTCCCAGGTGAGAGTCATACGCTCTAACCAGTCAGCCAAAGGGACATCCCCTTGGCCAAGTAGCCAGGACGCATGATCAATCGGGACATTGTGACAGGACGCTCACACTGTCACAAGTGGAACAAGAACTTCTATCTTCCATTTCTCTCTCCTTTTAACTTCTCCGTGTCCCTAAATAAAAGAGACAGATGATTACGCTGCAGCCGCCGTCACTGACCCCGCTCCCTCCCCAAGACCGGACCTCCTGACATCACAGCACTCGGTCTGACTGAGCGCTTCCAAGAGAAACAATAATGAAATTATGAAAATAATAATGTGTGCTTGGAGGAGCGTCCTCCGATCCTCTCTCTTGTGTGAGCAGACAATCTCCCGCTCTCTGTCTCAGTTGCTGATCGAGCGAGCGGAGCGCGCTGCGCGACAACCCGCTCAATTAACATCATTTATGGCCCAAATCCAACAGAACCAGTCAGGCTGATTTGATTCGGGTTCGGTCTCAGGTTATAACTCCAGCGCTCAGCCCTGCAGTACCACATAAAGGCAGATCAAAGTTTCCTACCCGGTAAATGTGGAGAACACCGCTCTGACAGATCTGGATGCTGCACTGGTGCCGCCATTAAAATAACACAACTACATTCCACTATAAATGATTATGGTACTCTTTTATGTTGCAAAACCGTTCATGCCCGCATCTCATGCATTGATTATTTGATTATTTTCCTCAGCTCTATCCTAAACCTCCCAGTCGGCCGTCGGGGATAGGGGTGGGGTTCTGCACGCGGGGTTTGGGGGCCACAAAGAGAGGGCCCGTGGGCCGCCATTTGCAGACCACTGCTATAATTAATTGCTTTTACAATGTGGTAACTAATTGGTTACCTAGCAAAGTAATTAGGCCCGAGCAGCGAAAGCGCTGCGAAGGCCTCTTGTTTTTGCTCTGATTATTATTATTTTTTGTTATTCCGTGCCCCCTTTGAACAGCTTTTTGGGGACCTTAACATACCCCAAAACTCACAATATTTTGCACACTTGTCAGGCCTGGTGAAAAATTTGATATTTTAAAGGTCCCAAAAAAATCGCAAAGAAAATGGCTGAACAGCGCCCCCTACAAAGTGAAAAAAACCCCTCTCCATAAAGCTTAGTTTATCATACAGTTATGAAATTTGGTACACTTGTAGTACTCAACAGTCCGCACAGAAAAGTCTCTTGCAACCATGGTCAATATCAAACAGGAAGTCGGCCATTTTGGGTTGAAATGGCGATTTTTTGCCGTTTTTGCCGTTTTTAGGGTCCGTTTCTGATTGGATTGCTCGATCATTTTTCGCACGATCGTCTCAAAAATTGTGTAAAATTGCTCAGAAGGGATGGGCGAACAAAATGAGATAAGGATTCTGAGTTTTCGTATATGTTGAAGGGGCGGAGCCAGGCCTCGAAGTTTGACTACTCGCCAAAAATATTTAAATTGCTATAACTTCATAACTGAAAGGAATAGAATTACCAAACTTTCTGTGGTCATTCGTCATCCAGCCACAAAGTAAATTGAATGGTCGGATGATGACATCACACAAGCCCCGCCCCCTCAGGACCAAAAAGGTCAAGTTTTACTGTGAAAGGTCCCAAATTGCCCCATTTCACTTAATCACCACAAACTTGTAGCTGTTAACTCAAGACAAGTGGAGGTTGCTTGGCGTCACTTTATGGGAGTTTTCGGCAGAAGGTGGGGCTGTGGCGGCGCGGCGAAGTCAGGCGTACCGCCATGGCCTTACGTTTGCCTTCCATTTCGTCATTTCTAAAGATATCGTCACGAAACTTGTTGTGAGTGATCCTAGTCCGGCCCCTCAAAAGATCTGATGTGAACATCCGGTGGGCGTGGCCTATTTTCTGAAATAGCGCCCCCTAGGACCATTAAAACTGTCAGCCCCAAGCCATGCTTTGACTGAGGAGTACGAAATTTGGTACACTAATGTGGTGTCTCAGGACCTACAAAAAAGTCTCTTGGAGCCAAGTGCAAAGTTGCACAGGAAGTCGGCCATTTTGGTCCAAGTACGCAATTTAGTGGTTTTCGCACACGTTGTTTGGAGAGTGATGCTCCGTCGCCATTTTCACCAATCTCCTTCAAACTTCTGCCATCTGCTCTTAAGACATAGAGGAAAAAATTCAACCGTCGGATTTTTCAAAAGTTGAAAGGTGTGGGCGTGGCTAAGCCTCAAACTTTGACCTGTCGCCGCGCCACTCTTTTTTTCACAGCTCCCTACTGGACTCCTTTTACCCAATCAGCAGGAGTCTCTGGCAAATAGCAGTAGACAACTTGAGGTCACTTGGTCTCCAGTACTGGAAGGTTTCAAAAAAAGGCAGGGCTTTGGGAGCATGGCGAAAATCGCCATCACGCCATGGAAATACGTTTGCCTCTCATTTCTTCATTTATCGTGATATCATTACGAAACTTCTGGTGAGTGATCCTAGTCTGACCCCAAAGAGACATAGACAGCTGAAATATGTGGGCGTGGCCTAATTTCTGAAATAGCGCCCCCTAGGACCATTTAAACTAATAGCCCCAAGCCATGCTTTGACTGAGGATTACGAAATTTGGTACACTAATGTGGTGTCCCAGGGCCTACAAAAAAGTCTCTTGGAGCCAAGCACAAAATTGCACAGGAAGTCGGCCATTTTGGTCCAAGTACGCGATTTAGTGGTTTTCGCACACGTTGTTTGGAGAGTGATGCTCCGTCGCCCTTTTCACCAATCGCCTTCAAACTTCTGCTATATACTCTTAAGGCATAGGGGAAAAAATTCAACCGTCGGATTTTTCAAAAGTTGAAAGGTGTGGGCGTGGCTAAGCCTCAAACTTTGACCTGTCGCCGCGCCACTCTTTTTTTCACAGCTCCCTACTGGACTCCTTTTACCCAATCAGCAGGAGTCTCTGGCAAATAGCAGTAGACAACTTGAGGTCACTTGGTATCCAGTACTGGAAGGTTTCAAAAAAAGGCGGGGCTTTGGGAGCATGGCGAAAATCGCCATCACGCCATGGAAATACGTTTGCCTCTCATTTCTTCATTTATCGTGATATCGTTACGAAACTTCTGGTGAGTGATCCTAGTCTGACCCCAAAGAGACATAGACAGCTGAAATATGTGGGCGTGGCCTAATTTCTGAAATAGCGCCCCCTAGGACCATTTAAACTAATAGCCCCAAGCCATGCTTTCACTGAGGATTACGAAATTTGGTACACTAATGTGGTGTCCCAGGACCTACAAAAAAGTCTCTTGGAGCCAAGCACAAAATTGCACAGGAAGTCGGCCATTTTGGTCCAAGTACGCGATTTAGTGGTTTTCGCACACGTTGTTTGGAGAGTGATGCTCCGTCGCCCTTTTCACCAATCGCCTTCAAACTTCTGCTATATACTCTTAAGGCATAGGGGAAAAAATTCAACCGTCGGATTTTTCAAAAGTTGAAAGGTGTGGGCGTGGCTAAGCCTCAAACTTTGACCTTTCGCCATTACTTGACTTAATAACTCCCATGTGCATGATCAGATCTTTTTCGAACTTTGTCTGTGTGATCATTGACCATATCTGTAAACAATGACAATGTGGACAGCTGACATCATCTAAGCCCCGCCCCCTGACTAAAGGAAGTTATTATTTTATGCTGAAATGCCCATATTTGTCCCCTCTAATTTAGTCAACATGACACCTAGGTCATGCACTGTCTTCATGATGCTGTAATGGCCATTCAAATCTGATAGCTTTCCAGAAAGGGAGGGGCTTTGATGCCATGGCGAATTCTTGCGTATGCCGTAACCTTACAATTCAATTTAATGGTGAGCTCAGAGGGGATGCTTAGTCAGGGTGAGGTGCGGACTAGGAGGCCATTTGCTGTTTCCGGTGACGGGATGATTGACGTTTCTGTTCTGCCAGACATGCCCTGGTGCCCCGGGCTGCCGGCCAGGCCGGAACGGCGCGGAGCTGCGAGGGCCGAACGACGCTGCTTGCAGCTTTAATTGTAACATTACTTTTAAGTTCTATAACACAGTTATGTTCTATAATATCTATAATGTGAAGTACTTTTTTTTAACTGAATTATACTAATTCTTACTTCATTCAGTAAGAAAGTTCTTATGGAAATCTGGAATGTTAATTTCTTCTAGGAACAATAGAATTATAGATATCTGGAACAAAATCCAGTTAAAAATGCCACCTTAGGTTTTTAGGGATTCTGAGAGAACTCAAACTTAATTCCTACTAGTGCAGCTCTTATTATGAATATCCTTAATTACGCACCATGGCTGCATGGTGGTGCAGTTGTTAGCACTGTTGCTTTGCAGCAAAAAGGTTGCAGGTTCGAAACTCGGTTGCGGCCTTTCTGTGTGGAGTTGTATGTTCTTCCCATGCATGCGTGGCTTTCCTCCAGGTACTCCGGTTTCCCCCACAGATCACAACATGCCCTGTAGGTTAACAATTGTGCGTCGCTTTGGAAAAAAGCATCTGCCAAATAAATAAACATAAACATAATTTCTGTAGTGACAACAAAGCTGTCTTCATTTGCAACTTTGACTAAGTTTTGTCAGAAAACCTGCCAGCGCTGCTGTGCTTCATTCAACCACAGTATAGTAACGTGCCCTTTTACATGCCCAGTAACAGTAACGAAGTTGCAAACATGGGGAAAAGTCATTAATTAGATTACTCCGTTACCTAAATGCCGTTACTACTAACACTGTTCACACCTCGTCTTCAGCTGCAGTAGACAAGGCTGGATGGTATTGGAAGCACCTCAAAGAACATGACTCTCACAACGCATTTTTGCATCTCGAGGTGAGTCAGCACTCGGTGCTACAGGTATGTTTTGTTTGTACGCAAATTGCCGTGGGTCTATCTCCGGGCTCACCACTGAGCTTAGGTGGGTGAGGATGAGTCTCTCTATGGTCTTCATCAGGTAGTAGGTCAAGGCGACAGGTCTGTAGTGCCCTGGTTCTCTGGGATGTGATGTTTTGGGAACTGGAACCACACAGGAGGTCTTCCACTGGATGGGGACCTGCTCTAGACGAAGGCTCAGGTTAGAACATGTGCGTGATGACTTCACAAAGCTGGTCAGCACCAAAGCTGTTGAATGGTACAAATTTTGGGGATAGGCAAGGCAGCTTTATTTATAGAGCACATTTCAAACACAGAGGCAATCCAATGTGCTTTATAAAAACACAAAGTAAAACACATAGATAGAATTACAGTTTAGAGCTAAAGGAGAAGACATAGTTACAGTGCAGGTTACAGTGGAGATGACGCATGATAAGAAATAGTTAATTGAAAGACTGATGAGTACATTAGGTTTTTAGTTTTGTTTTAAACAACACTAGAGTTGAGGCACATCTGAGGTCTTGGGGAAGCTGATTCTATACGTGAGCAGCATAGTAACCAAATGCGTCTCCACCATGTTTTGTTCTGACCTGAGGGTCTACCAGCTGGTTGTTTCTAAGGAATATCAGAGCCCTATTGGGTGTTTATTCAGGAATGAGATCGGACATGTATTTTGGTCCCATGTCATTGAGTGATTTATAAACTAGTAGGAGCACTTTGAAATCTATTCTGTAATTTACTGGTAACCAGTGTAGGGATCTAAGAACAGGAGTGGTGTGCTCCATTCTCTTAGTTCTTGTTAGGACTCTAGCAGCAGCATTCTGAACAAGCCGCAGTTGCTTCACAGCTTTTTTGGGAGGACCAGTTAGGAGACAATTGCAGTAGTCCAGTCGACTGAAAATAAAAGCATGGATAAGTTTCTCTAAGTCTGGTCTGGACATGAGACGTCTGACTCTTGATATTTGATGAAGGTGATAAAACGCTGATTTAGTTATAACCTTAATATGTCCAGAGAAGTTCAGGTCAGAGTCAATGATAACATCTAGATTTCTAATCTGGGTTTTTGTCTTTATTCCACTGGAGTCTATCTGAGCAATAACATCCATTGTATCACTGTTGTTGCCAAAGACAATAACTTCAGTCTTGTCCTTTTTAGATGAAGGAAGTTTGACTGCATCCAGTCGTTTACTTGCTCTAGGCACTGACAGAGTGAGTCCAGTGGACAACAGTCACTAGGTGATAGGGCTAGGTAGATCTGGGTGTCATCAGCATAGCTATGATAGGCAATGTTGTTATTAAGTATGACCTGACCCAGGGGGAGCATATAGAGATTTAAGAGTAGTTGTCTTAGAATTGAGCCTTGGGGGACCCCACATGCCATGATGATCCGCTTTGATTGGTAGTCCCTAATAGAGACAACATAGACCCTGTCTTTGAGATAGGATTGGAACCAGGCAAGCACTGTGCCTGATGGTCCCACCCAGTTTGAGAGTATGTCCAGAAGGATGTTGTGGTTCGCAGTGTCAAAAACTACACTGAGGTCGAGCGTCATCAGGACAGATGCTTTACCCGAATCACTGTTGAGACGAATGTCATTTAATACCTTGATCAGTGCAGTCTCTGTGCTGTGGTGCTGTCTAAAGCCTGACTGAAGACTGTCATTAAAGTTATTTGACTCCAAAATGTTTATTTGGTTCATTATCACCTTTTCAATAATTTTTCCAATCAGAGGGAGATTAGAGATCGGTCGGTAGTTGTTCAACACTGAGGGATCTATTTTCCTCTTCTTTAGAGGGGGTTTCACAGCAGCAGTTTTCAGTGATTTGGGAAAAGTCACTGACATTAAAGAGCAGTTAACAATTTTCAGTACCTCAGCTTTCAGGCAACTAAAAACCTTTTAAAGAAGTTTGTAGGCAGGCTGTCCAGACAACAGGTAGAGGAATTTAGGGTCTTTACTACATCATCCAGTGTTTTAGTACTAATCAGGGTGAAAGTTGGCATTCTGGCCAGGTTGTTGCTGTGTGGCTGTGTCAGTGGTCTGTTTGTGTTAGTTGATTTAGAGGAATGAATGGCTAATCTAATGTTCGTGATTTTTTCATTGAAGAAAGATGCAAACTCATCACATTTGGTCTGAGATATGAAGGCCGGGGCTAACTGAGCAGGGAGATCAGTTAGCCTCTCGACATCATTGATGACTTTTGAGAAAAAGGCTCGTCTCGCCTTTTTATCTCTGCGTTATAAGTACACAGCTGTATTTTGATGGAGGAGATTGGTTGACTGAATGTAGTTGGTTGAGGGGTGGCAGTGGTGATGCCTGTTGCAGACGTGAGGGGGTTGGAGTCACATCTGTTTATAAGGTTGTTTGTTGGTCCAGTTCTCACCCCCCTGAACTGTCCTATTGGCACCAGTCCTCCCACTGTGTCCAGTGATGTGTCTGAGGCCTCTCCAGACATCGTACCTCGGTAAACTTTAAACCCAACAACACCCTCAGACAGAAATTGTTCAATCCACTAGAGAAGGCACTGAAACAGAAGTTTATGTTTATTTGTTTATTTATTTAGCGGACGCTTTCATCCAAAGCAACATACAATTTATAACCTACAGGACATGTTGTGATCTGTGGGGGAAACCGGAGTACCCGGAGGAAACCCACGAATACATGGGGAGAACACGCAACTCCACGCAGAAAGGCCGCAGCCGAGTTTCGAACCTGCAACCTTCGTGCTGCGAGGCAACAGTGCTAACCACTGCACCACCATGCAGCCCGTTTAGTGGCGTCATTTATGCAGTCCCACGTAGTGAGGACTGTCCAGGGGTCTCATTTATAAAACATTGCATTGAATCCTTACTAAAACCGTACTTAAGCTCGGCAAAAAAATGTACTTACATCAAGTAGGTTTGTGACCTATAAAACATGGAGTACGCACCGCTTCACGTAGTCTCCGCTTTATAAATCAGAGACTAACTAGAAAGGTTCTCAGCTGTTTTGTGGTCACATCCTGCCCTCAACACGCCCACTTTCTGCCATAAATGGTCAGTGCAAAGTGCCTTGTGGATCTCATGCGTAAACATAAGCCGGCTCGTTGCAGCTCTCGCCGTTAACCGCAGATCAAGGAAGAGCAATTTCACCGAAGCAGAAATTGAGGTACTTGTTCTGTGTGCGCACGAAGCGGTACAAGTGACGATGCTGCTGGAATTCATAATCATACATTTCACAGCAGCAGCACTGCAGGTGCTCTCCGTGTCCAAAATGTGCGTAAGCCAGGTCCTTAGTCAACTTAAAGTTGCGAACATTTTTCTGAACAAGTTTGCGTGGAAATTTGCTTGCGCAGTTTTCCGACCCATTTTGTGCATAAGCAAGCTTTATAAATGAGACCCCCAGATCTTCACGTTGGGGAAACTAAACAATTACACAAGTGCATGGCACAACACAGGAGAGCCACCTCTTCAAGGTCAAGATCACGTTTATTTCTAAAGCACACTTATTGCTTTCGCAACCCAAAGTGCTGTACAACACACAAGATAACATAGCAAGAAAGTGTAACTAAAAACCATAAAACCATTAAAATTAGCAAGTTAGGATAAAAACAGCATTACATCACACAATTATAAAATCAATAAAAATGAGAAAGAATGACAATGATAAAAATAAAATCATCCTACATAAAAGGTCAAGGTCTGCAGTCCACCTCCACCTGTTGAAAAATCTTTGGCATCCTTGGAAGGAACATGGACATGGGAGTTCTGAGTAGGAAATACCGAAGAATTTTTCCTGTCTGGTTGGATTTTTAAAGCTGACGAATCCTCACCATGAATAAACTTGAGTATATTGCTGTGATGTGTATTATGTGATTAATCCAGCTTCATGTTTTTGGTGATGAACATGTGTTGCTGTCACTAGTTACTAGGCAGATTTTCCAGTTTGTAACTTGGACAGGATAATCCTGACCAGCTCCAAGTGGAACAACTCAAACTAGAGTCTGACTGAATAAAAAAGGAAGCCAGGTTTGATCTAAAATGTTCCCCCTGGATAGAAAGTGTGTTTGTGTTTCTAGGGGGTGGTGGTGAAGGCCGACTACATCCCTCTGCTGCAGTCACTCGCTCCGTATGGATGGAGGCTGATGTGTGTGCTGCCTACACCCATCGTCAAGACAAACAGGTACCTCCTCCCCCCAGAAACAACGCTAACATCAACCAGAACACACACACACACGCCTCGTGCTTCTCTGTTTGATCTGATTGATGAATCTCACCTAAACTTAGCCAGGTCTAATTACAGCTCTGCTTGATTGTTGATCGTAGAGTCATTCTTCTTCTGTCTAAGACGTCGTCCGCCTCCTTCCTTTTGGGATTAGGACTGACAGCAGAACTAGGCTCTGAAGGACAGATGGTTCCAGATCTGACAAATCACGATCAAATGCTGATGTCAACATGAAACGGCCTTTGAAATCCGTAGCTGCTGCAAACAAAAACACTGTCGCTGAACTTCAGTTGCCTTGTAACCTGTCACTTTCACAATCGCAGGAGCACGAGGACATCTGCTGGCTCCACAAATTATTATCAACATCACGTAATGAGAATCCGTCATTAAAGCACTGCTTTTTCCTGCTTTTCACTTCTGCAGTGACGGAGGTTTGTCGACGAAGCAGATCCTCTTCCTTCAGAGACCCGTTTTGCAGCGCAAGAGAAAAGACTTCAAGGTTTGCCTTCCATCTTTGCTACTAATCTGTCAGTTGTCTCCGCCGTGCCTCGGGGGCATGCGACTTGATGTCACAGAATGTGTCATTAAAAAGTTTGGTTGCTATTATGGGATGCATGGTGAATATAAACCCATTAGAAAGAGTCTAATAATAGGCAAGTACTTGGCCTCAAACTGTACAGGAAGGAGGCGTCAGCGAGCAGAACTTTGTTGTGGTTTGTCAGGTGTCTGGGGAGACGGAAGAAGAAGACAAATCATGTCTGTTTGTTTCAGATGCTGAACCTCCGAGGTCGCAGCAAGGCAAAGAAACATTCTGCTGGAGAAGCGCTAGACGAGCACGAGAGCAAGTCCCTCGTGGCTGAGACTGAGCTGGACAGGCTGGGCATCGACACCGAGGAGGAGAGGAAGAGCAAAAGAGCGAGTCTTCAGAGAGGTGGAGAGGATGCACCACATCAAAGAGGCTTCTTGTTCCTGTCAGAACGCACGGCTTCTGTGGAGCGTCAGGAAGAGGAAACTGACGTGGACGAGATCCCACAGGAGAGGTCTGTGAGGTGGACGGATTTGTGTCTGAGAGACGATGGAGGCGTAAAGGAGAGGATCCGGGCGGAGGACAGGATCAGACAGCAGCTGTTTTCAGGCGTCTGCTGACCTGTTTGGCTCAAAGTGAGAGGAGGATGAAACCTGGCAGTTAGTAGAGCTGCAGTTTTAGTTCCTGTGGAAGCGCTGGATGAGCCCCTGCTCTGTGTGTTTTACTGGTTCTGATGGGAGGAGTGTGAGCAGTGGTCCGATGGGCTCCAGCTAATGCCTTAAGTAGTTCCACTTCACAGTAATGTCTTGTTTTAGACGGGAAAGGTTCCATTTCTCTCATCCCACCGTACTTTTCTACATGCACTGGGGAAAGGATTTCATGTTCAGCTGTAGAGCACGAGTGATGCGTAGATCCTGCACTTTTTTATTTGACCTGATTCACGTTTCAGTTACGAGCTTAAAAACAACTTTGAGTGGAGCCGAGTGAAGAAGGTAGGTGGAATCCTTTTGGGGTGCTTTCCAGATGTTTTCATCGGCCGAGCAGATCTGGTGCCACGTTCATGTTAAATTTTAGTTCTGCTTCTAGATGAATAAACAAACCTGTTGATGTGACGGGAAAAGGTCGCCCTGATGCTGCTGAAACCAGAGAAATGAAAGGCCCGGCCTTTTGGGACGCTCGCCACCTCCCAGGCCAGAGTGTTATGGTGAAATGTTGGTTATTGTCTTTTGTTCGGTCCTTAAAACAACGGAGTTGAGGTCTGCTCTCCCCTAGCAGGTATGTAGTGTACCTGTGTTTGCTGATATTGATAAGCTGCTGCAGTCTAAAATGTAATCAACTGTAGATACTAATCCATAAACCTTAAAAATAACAGATTACATAATCCAGAAATACGTGAAAATATAAACTTGTCTGTGATTTATAAACTACTTTGAAAGAACACAAATCAAATCTGAACTACATGGTTTTTATACGAATCTAAATGCAGCAAGCTGCCTAATCCCATATTTACGGTATTGATGTAAAACTGTTAAAGCAGCCCGAGGCTCTAATCGGACACTTCTAGAACTATTACCTGTTTGACAACGTGATAACAAATCAGTATTTATTGATAGTTTGGTGTTTTGTGTCTCTGAAAGGCCATAACTGCTTCACAAACCCGACAGATCAGCTGTAGCACCACCCTTTATCAGACCGGTGATCAGGAAGCAAAGCAACCATTTCAGAGGGAAACATTCTAGAACTTCAAAATGACGTTTCTTTTTCAAACGAGGGTTTCTCCTGGACCTGATGAGTGCCGTCGTGTCAGTGGTGTAACATGTAGGTCATGATGTAATCACACGGTCAATAAAAGCGTTTTAAAACAAACTCCGGTTGACTTCATTTACGTTTTAGGTGGTTTCTCTTCATGCAGGGAAGAGTGTGAGCAACACGACAGGAAGGTTGAGTCCATCTCCGACAGGAAGTTTAGAGATCCAAACCAATCAGAGACCACCTGGAGATTCCATTACAGATCACTGTGGGACACCTCCTCCACCCGGGGAGGAGACGGCTATGGAGGCATGAAATGGTAGAAGTGTGTGTGTGTGTTTTCTACTTGATTTGTGAAGAACGAGATGCAGCAGTCACCAAGTAATTAATTATTCAGCAGATAAACACCTGATTAGGACTTACGCACACACAAGACATCAGATCAGGAATGAAATCTTTAAAGGGACTTTCAAAATAAAAGCATCCCTTTTTAGGAAATGCATGAGTTTTCAAAGCAGATGGATACCAATGTCACCTGTGTTTACTGAAGGTGTGACTTCAGCTCATCTCACATAAACCCAGTCACACACTGGTAGGTGTCAAGATATTTAAATAAAGAACGTATTAAAAAAATTGGTTGTTACTTTAATACAAGCCTGAAATCTTTAAATAGTTTTAGGTAAAGTAAAAGTGAAACGAGGAGAAGCTCGTATTCAGTCACTGTCACACGGAGTCTCCCAGTCGCTCAAACCAGCTGGGACCAGACGCGGCTTTTCCTCCTCCTGCCGACTTAGAGAAATGTTAGTCATGTCCTCCACTCCTCCTGCAGGAGAACCCAGAGCAGGTGAGGAGAGCCTGTGGGAATCATCTCCGCTCCTACCACCACTTCTCAAACAGAATCCTGTCTTTGGGAAGTCCGAGATCCTTGAGGGTTTTTGAGATGGCTTCAGTCATGGGTGGAGGTCCGCACACGTAGCACAAAGTCCTTTGTGGGTTCACATGAGCCTGCAGCTCCATCGGTGTGATTCTTCCACCTGAGGAGATATGAGCGGACCTGTTAATTACAACCCAGCCCCTCATGCAGCTTAAAGAGGCGTTTCTACATGACAACCGATGAATTACAGAACGCAGACGTGGTAGAACAGCATCTCAATCATCCCAGCTAAATGGAAGAGTGTTTGTGTACGTAACGCACTTTTGACGAACGGCCGCAGGTGCTGGTCCACTTCTGCTCTTTGCTGCGTGATGTGGAAGTTACAGGAGAACTTGTCAGGAAGCTGCTGACAAGACTGGATGATAGAGTTCTAGAAAAACAAGTCAGTCTAATGTTGGTACAAAAAGGGCAATTAATAACAAATCAGTCCAAAATGTTAGCGTGAACCTTGAAGAGCAGCTCCTCTGTGTTCTTGGCACTGTAGCAGAGGTGGGCGGAGCCTATTTTGTAGTCCCGGCCACCCGAGGCTTGACTGAGATGTAGAAGATCTGACGTGTGTGACAGGATTGAGTAAAGGGGATTGATCCCTACGCCTCCGGCCACCAACAGCAGATCTACGGCGGGATCAGAGGGTGACGGGTCAAAGAAGAAGTCCCCGCCGACGCGCAGGGCTACCTGGGAGCCTAGCGCACACTGAGGGGAGGGAGACAGCTTCAGTCAGGCCAGACGCACTCCTCGTTTGATTCTCCAAGTACCTTTACCACTCACCACGGTGTGGACCCAGTGAGCCGGGGGGTGCTTGGCGTTTTTGATGGCCAGTTCTACGACGCCCTCTCGCTGCAACAAACCCGGGCTGGAGCACATGGAGAAACCTCCAACCTTCTCCACCCCAGGAATGAAGAAATCCACCCTGAAGCCACAAACACATAATATCATTAAACAGGTCCTTCACTCATGTTTTCAGTGGCGGTAATCAGAAATAGCTTTTCAGTGAAGGACATCTTTAAAATTACATATACTGGCTGAATAAACCCCACCTTTGTGTTGTCCTTTCCTACATGGAGACAAGTGGACATCATTTTAGATACTAATAAACAACTTTGAGATTTCTGCTTGTTTAATGTTCCCGTCTGTCAGAGAAAAGCCACTGGCTGCTGCTTCACCACCGCCCACCAACAATATGGACTCATGTACATGCTGCATGTTCTACACACACGGCAGACCGTAGAAAAGGCCATCAAAGAAATGCTCAACACTTTAGGAGCTGTTTAAAGAGTTATCAAAATAAATCAAACATCAGAAACCACCTTGAGCTGATTAAACATTAATACCTGTGATATTTTTATCTAAAAGCCAAATTAAAGAGCTCTAGTGCACAAAACAGCATCATGCCAGGCAGATTCAGATCCATGTAGGTGAAGCGGAGAGAATACTGCCCCCGTGTGGTGGCTGTGAGTCATACAGCTGAATCACTACTGTAAAAGTCAAGGACAGCTGATGCTTTTGTTGTAGTGGAGCAGAACTTGGCTTTACCGTCTTCATCAGGGTTATCGTTGTGCTTACAAAAACATTTAAGCTTTAAAGGTTGTCTACTACTCACCACTGTCCCGCTTTAAAGGTGAAGTCTGGATGGACGACGATCCTCAGTCTTTTTACCGTTTCCGATTCGCTCACCATTCCACATATCTCCGCCGGATACAGAGCCTATAACAGGTAGCAGTCAAACACAAACATACAGCAACACAGACTCCGTCAGACATAAAGAAACAATATTAAAACACGTATAATTAGAGATTGTTGTTCATCAGAACACTAAACACAGCTTACATCTTGTCTGTAGTTGCCTACTGTCCTCTCAAGATGGTCCGTTTGCCTTTTGGAGGACATCATCCTGATAAGGAGAAGACAAACATATTGCTTGTTTTTCTGATCAAATATTTTCGTATCAAATGAGACACAATACTTTCAAAAAGGCAACTAGATCAATATCAGTAGAGAAAAAGCCAGGTTGCATAAAACGCATAACCAAAAACAAATGGAGATGGAACTGGAGATCCCTGCATAAGTAAAATGTAATTACACATATTCCACATAATAACAGGGGCTGCACGCTGCTCTGAGGTACGTCTGCTGTTGGTTTTTGACCATAACACCTGTTGTCTGGGTGTTTTCTCTCCAGTTTTAATCAAATATGTGACTGAAATTTGTGACACAGTACTGCAATTCATATAAGCGTATTATTAATAATACCCAAAGTGAAATATGAAATGTTCTTTTCGGTTTTTTGTTCGCACAAGCTTTGTAGGATGTTAGGAAAGCTTTTAGCCTGACCGGACCCACCTGGACGTAGAACCAGCGCCCAGAGGCCGCCAGCAAAGCCGACCAGCAGCTGGGCTCCACAAGGTGAAGCTTCGAGCAGCGTTACACATGAATCCACTGGGGATGTTCATCACGACCTTCCGGCCTCTGTCGGTCAGGACAGAGGACACCCAAATAAGACACATTCTGACAAGAGTTCATCCATGCAGCGGACAAACCGGAAGGTAAAAACCCAATGCTAAAATGAGCTAATATCAGAAAATATTTCTGTAAATATTCACTCCTGCGTCACCGATGCGCCTTTCCCTACACTACAATGAAGAAAACACAAGACAAATGTGACTCCCAACGCCAAACAACGAAATAAAGCAGCAAAAAGTAATTGCTTAATATTTCAAATGGAGTTTGATGTGACCTCTTGGAGTTAGGTAACTAGCTAAAGCTACATGTCTGTAAACGCCGGTTTTGTCCCAGTTTGTCGTTTAACACTAAATGATATTTTTCTTACCTAAAAAACAAACCGCCGAGTTTTAATCAAACTTCTGTCATTTGTTTTCTCCATAAAAATACGAGAACCGTCTTCATGATTTGATTAAATGACACGATCAGCTTCTGGCTCGTGAGGATTTCTTCTTCCTTCACGGTTTTTGGCAGTTAGCAAACAACGATGTGGTGCAACACCGCCACCTACCGGTGGCGATGACTTTTTCTGTCAGAACTATGGCCAGAACCCATTCTGTTAGCGTCCTCTGGTGGGTGGTCATTGTAACACGTAACAGAAACGGTGGTAAACAGGTGAAAGTGTCAAATCAATTTGGTGCAAAAGTCCATTCATGTAAGTAAATATGTTAGACTGAGAGACCATCTAAAGGCTCAGGATCCCTTTGCAGGTGTTCTGGATTCATATAGCTGATTAGAGTCTAGAATATTGAACCTTTTCACACTATTCTAATTGTCTGAGATTTTGAATTTGGGGTTTTCATAAGTTGTTAGCCAATCATTACAATCATAACAAAGTCTGATATCTCGGGATTTGCATGTAATGAGTGTCTCATAGATTAGTTTGACCTTTTAAGGTGGATTACTGAAATAAATTACCTTTTGCACCATATTCGAATTTTTCCAGTCTCACCTAGTCTTGACTGAATAAATGACACAAATGCAAATCTTCCATGCTTCCTTTTGTGGATATAAGCAGTTTATGGGTTGTCCAGTAATCGGAAGGTTGCAGGTTCGATCCTGGCTCCGGACAGAGAATTCTGCTGTTGTGTCCTTGGGCAAGACACTTAACCCACCTTGCCTGCTGGTGGTGGTCGGAGGGTCTGGTGGCACCTGTGCTCGGCAGCCTCGCCTCTCATCCCCACCAGTGTGTGAATGGATGAATGATACACTGTAGTGTAAAGCGCTTTGGAGTCCTTACTCTGAGAGGCGCTATACAAGTGCGGGTCATTTATCATTTATCATTAGTTTTCCACCCCAAGATGATCCTCTTTTGGCTCACTGGGTCAGTTCCAGACCAAAAACAAAATGCAGCGCTGCTGTCCAAAACTCCCGAAAGCCAATCCAACATATCCAGTACACCTCGTAGCAACAGAAAAACAAACTTGGACTGCATTGTGCATTCTGAATGTGATCATTAGTCATACATCAGAGTGATTATCTGTCTATATTTAGCTTATTTTCCTGCCCACAAGAAAAACTAAAGAATAAACTAAATAGATGGCACACACTCCTACCCTCAACGTAATAGAGACTAAAACTGTTACCTGATTCCTTCTCCCCATCCTGTCTCGGTTTTTCTGGCTCTTCCTTGTTGGCAATGAAACAGACAGAAACCACAGAACCAGTCTGTGTTGGGCAGGGAATGATGTTTTCATACTGTTAGTGCTGGACAAGCTTAATTTCAGTGTGTGATAACAAGAGTAATGAAGCAAATATGTATAAGTTTGCAATATGAAAACATGAATGTTTAACATTTACTTAACCCTTTGATGCATGATGGTCACTACAGTGGACAGGTACTCAAAATTGTTATTTATTTGTTTTTGCTACTAAGCACAACTTTTGAAGACTTTATTACAATTGAGCCCCTCCATTTGGACTTCAGTAAGCCAAGCCAACATGTTTCATGTTCAGAATGCACGCTGTCCACTGAGGCGGACATTTAGTAAATTATAAAATTTTACAAAAAATAATTGTTGAAATTTATTTCATTCACACCTAAAGACGAATGAAAAAAAAACTGAAAAATCATGGTTGAAGATTTCATAATTCATGCATCAAAGGGTTAAAGTTCATCCCAATAGAGAGTTTTGCATCAGTGAAAGAGCATTAGCCTAATTATAGACACCACTCACATTTATTAGAGAAGTGTCGGATCAAATTTGAGACCTATTGTTAGACAAAAATTGTCTATGCAGTTTAGATTTTTTAATAAATAATACAGGTTAAGTTGAGGTCAGGTGTGTGTCCTGCAGGCGTGTTGTGAACACACACCTGGAAAAGCTCATATTTCTTCCCCTTTGTAAAATTAACCCTTTGATGCATGAATTGTTAAATCTTCAACCATGATTTTTTAAACAAATTTTTTCATTCATCTTTAGGTTTGAATGAAACAAATTTCAAAATTTTTTTGTAACATTTGATCATTTACAAAATATTTATTACATGTCCACGTCAGTGGACAGCGTGCATTCTGAACATGAAATATGTTGGCTTGACTTACTGAAGTCCAAATGGAGGGGCTCACATGCAGTAAAGTCTTCAACAGCTGTGCTTAATAGCAAATAAATAAATAGATAATTTTGAGTACCTGTTCACTGTAGTGACCATTACACATCAAAGGGTTAAAAACAAACTATAAAAATTAAATATCTGAAACCCGTAATAACAAAACAACAACAATAACTATGGTAAATGACCTGTGTTTGTATAGCGTCTTCTTAGGGTTCTACAACCCCTCAAGGCGCTTCACATCACAATCGGTCATTCACTCATTCACACACTGGTGATGAGCTACGATGTTACCACAGCTGCCCTGGGGCGCACAGGCGGAGGTGAGGCCTGCCGAACACTGGCGCCACCGGTCCCTCCGACTATGGACGTAGTTTTGACTTCAGAAATGGGGGCATGAGAACCGGGGGGTGGGGGGTGTGCGTGTGTGTGCGTTAGGGTTGTCATGATACTAAAATTTCAAACTCGATTCGATACTTGAAAAAAAACTCGATACTCGATTTCGATACTATTTAAAAACACCAATTTATCGAACAAGTTTATTAAAAAAATAACATTCCACAATTTATATTGCAAAAATTAAATGTTAAGAATTAAGTGTATTAAGTGCTTAAACCTTTCAAGCATCAGCATTTTTTAAAACGTGCATACAAAAACTGGCGAAAGTTAACACTTTAAATCATATGCACTATTTGCAGAGTGATGTTTTGCTGCTTAAACTCTGTTTAAGGTGCATTTTTGTCATAAGATGTAATGCCATATGTTTTGTTCTGTACTTTTGAACAACTCTGTTGGTCAATAAAGGGAGAAAACGAATTTCTCCACAGTAGGACAAAGGTACATCTACCGGTAATCTTAATAAAAACAGATTGGCGCACGGCAGTGACGTCATTAAAAGCGCCGGTTAATTAGCCGCAGCGAGTCTGTTTACGCCTAGAAATCCCAGACCCGCTCCAAATGAACAGGGGGAATCACGTTAATGATTCCTGACAAAACCTTTCGACATTGAGATGTTTTGGTGCAGATAATGTCTTATTTCGAGGCTGCACCATGAGTGCCCGTCCGCACCCGTTATATAGATATACACTGACGGCGATTCGCCGATGGATCTAAATACCCCGGGGAATCCAAGTAGCACCAAAGTTGTCAGCGTGAGTAAACAAACGTACTGCATGCTAGAAATTAAGTCCGGGTTGCAATAAACGGGGGTTTCCTTTAAGCACATAAGCGTGAATATACAACTACGTGTCGGACTTGGTATGCTAATTAAGTTGGGCTGTGAAGCGTCTCCCAAATTCGCTGTTTATGTTTTTGTTTATTTATTTGGCGGATAAAACTTGGATCAGAGACAACTCACGTGGGAAATTGCAATGTAGAAATGCGGGGTCTTATTCTTCTGTTTGTCTGGGACGCGGAGGCTGCTTTACGGCATCTGGCTGTCGTGCGTGTCGGTGTACTTGAAGAAGGCTGTGTATAATAGTCCATGATATCGATACCACAGGGATGGAATATCTAATTTAGATACCACTTTTAGTATCGATTTATATCTAGGTATCGATTTTTTTGACAACACTAGTGTGCATGGGGGCAATCTTTACAGTAAGTTTACAAAAACCATATATAAGACTACAGCCTAGAGGCTCTTTTATTCAAAGTCAGGATTTCAGAACTGTCAAGTAACAGGTGGCAGGAACAGCCAATCACATTAGCAAGTATCAGCAGAGCCAATAGATGAGCTTATGGACGCTTCTAATGGGAAACAGGCTTCTACACAAGTGGTTGTTTTCCGCTTGGTCCTAGTGCTCAACCAGAGTCTACATAATATAGTGTAGTATTGTTTTTGGACAATAAAAAGTGCAGGGGCCAGGGGGCAAAAATGGACTTTGGCAAAAGTGGGGGGAAATGTCTAGCCTGGCCTGCCAGACTCGTCCTCTGTTTAATTCTGCACAGAGTAAGAGTCTGGTTACTCACAGGTAGAGGGTAGAGAGGTACATGAGGGGCGGGACTAGGCAGCTCAAAAGTAACCAGTCAGAAAAAAGACGGAAAGGCCGACTGTAGTTTTTTAGCTTTAGTAAAAATGGCATCTGGCGACAGGCCAAACATCTTTTTTTTAGAAGAAAGGCTTTTAGCGCTTCTACTTGTTGTGATTTTAAAGACACTCAAGTCATTTAGAACAGAGGAAAGAGCCGCAGCAAAGTCCGCTTCAGTTGCCTTGGTTATGACAAACTCGGCGTTGTGGTGTGTGACGTACGCTACTCAGCGCTGATTGGCTCGGTTAGAATTCTCAGGGGGTGGGGCAATTTGAACAGGAGAGTTCCCAGACCCTTTCTCTGTGCAGAAGTAAACAGGAGGAGTCTGGCAGACCAGGCTAGAAAATGTCCCCGTCCCCCCCATAACTACACCCATGCCTCCAACCACCACCAGCAGGCAAGGTGGGTTAAGTGTCTTGCCCAAGGACACAAAAGCAGCATTCTCAGGTTGGAGCTGGGATCGAACCTGCAACCTTCTCATTACTGGACAACCCGCTCTACCTCCTGACCTATGGCTGTCCCAGAACTAGATAAATTACATTTTTTGCAGAAATACTGTTTGAATGCTGAATTTTGAAACCCTTAGCTGAAGATGCCGAAGAACTGAACTGAAGCTGAAATTGAGTTTGATTGTCAAAGTTAGCTGTTATTAACGGAAAATATTACATTTAAGCAGAAAACGCCACCATTACATTGATACAGGGCTTAAAGTAGATGAAAATGATTTTTTAAATGATTAAACCACTGATCTGGATGCTGAACTGTTTAAACGGCTGACATTTTAGCAGAAACGTTTGAATGTTTGTATCGCTATTAGCTCAAGTGTCAAATTAAGAAAATGTAGTTGAAAATTTGAAGCAGTTTTTGTTGTAAAAAATTAAAAGTGTGGTTAACATTTTTAAAAAG